TTTTGCCCAGTGTTTTTGTATTTACCACGGACCGAAGTGCCAATTAATTTATAAAATGAGGGGCAAAAAGAAGTGACGACTTCTCCAGCCTTCCCTCGCTGTTTGGCTTCAGAGCATCGGCAAAAACACGTAACTAGATTAAGGGGTTTCAAAATCTCCATTCCTTTTTTTTCCCCTAAAAAGACTGTAAGCGAACATCATGACTTGAAGTTTTCACGAAATATTGCCCCCACAGAGAAGAAAAATCGCCAAAGTTTTAAAAAATGACATTGAGTAGTTAAGTTTTCTATTTGGAAAATAAAATATGACAGAAAGTCAGCAATGCCATGAACCGAGATCAGCGTTTCTGCAGTTTCACGTCGAATTATCACTTCAAAAATTATCTCAATTAACTTTGACTTGATATCCCGAAAAATACGCAAATAGAAGTAGTGTGCAATCAGTATGTGTCGGAAACACTAACCAGAACGGTGAAACTAATATCTCGATGGCCAAAGTGCTAAACTACGTATCTCCATTTGTGACGTTGCAGACTTTCTGTTATACTTCATGGTTTCGTAGAAAAACTAGTCAATGCAATTCATAGAAAACTTCCTTCATTTCCCTTCTCCATTAGTAGAATATTATATTCTAAAAAAATTTCAAGCTATAAACTTGGGTTGCTTCTCCTCGATAAATAAAATAGAAGCGGACATTTTGAAACACCGCAATGGAGATACGTGGTTTCACACTTTGGCTATCGATCTTAATTTTGAAATTTTGGACACGATGGCCCTTTCCCCGCGTGCGGTCACACATCGTAATAGTGGCATAATTTCCTTCCCCATTTCTCCATGAATTACTCCTTGATTTTGTGCCACGTTTCCTCCTTCACCCTCATCGTCCCCTAAACTAAGGACTTATCTCTATTTCCACATGAGCCCCGAAAATCATAGATTTATTCGGAGATCAGGGCTCACACGTAAATTGAGATACGCCCTTACGACAGGAGAGCCACGTCACCACCCCGCTTTTCCTCCTTTTCATATTTAAACCTTCGGGGTTCTCAGAAAATTAATTATGCAAAGGTCGATAACCTACATGGATTTTCCTGGTTTTTGACTTTAAACAAAAATTGAAATAAAAAAGAGATCAACCTCCTGATGCGCAACAGGTGGGTACTATGTCGTTTGTTTCGTAACTTATTGCTTGAAAATTGTATGATTCACGATCATTCCCTGCTAATCGCGCAATTAAAAGTAAACAAATCTATAGAAATCATGAATAATTTTGTTTTATACTCCCTGATGTAATAATAGCTTCTAACAGCTAATTTTTATTTTTTCCTCCCCGAAGTCACTACGCTTGGCGGCAATTAACCATGACTTCCATCATAAAATTTTGCGAGAAACTCGATAGTGCCGTTGGTTTTGTCTGAAATCAACTTCCAAGCTCATCCAAAACTTTTGAAGTTCAGGTCGCATCTCTCTCACAGAATCCGTCTCCATAATCAGCAAAATTTTCCATGCTGACAGATATAGAGCTGAATGCATTAGCAAGGTGGCCACTCAGTACGGTAAATCTAAATATACTGCCAGCACAACCGGTCACACATTTGTGGAAAGATAATTTGGCGGGCTGCAGACCCAAAGTAACACAGCGCGATGATGATATTGAAGTTAATTTGCGATTCAATAAAAAAGAAAATTGCAATTTTGTACCATTCCGTTGCAATATTTTTACATCAGTTGGTTGATAAATGCCAATTTTAAACGATAGATAGTCAATTTTCATACGTAAATGCGCCTTCAATTACATTGGATACTGTGCAATACTTTCGTGGTGGAATAGTTGCATTGGCACCTACAAACCTAACAAGGATACTTCACTCATTGCGCAATGCATGCAGTATCCCTGTTAGGTTTGTAGGCGCCAATGCAACTATTCCACCACGAAAGTATTGCACGATATTAAATGTAATTGAAGGCGCACTAACGTATGAAACTTGACTGTTCCCGTCATGGTGTCAGGGGGTATTTTTTAACGAGGAACTTGAATCTCAACTCAAATTTTTAAAATTCAAAAATCCAAAATGGCAGAAATTGCCAAAAATGTTATCTTGAGACTTTCGAGATCTAAGACGGTTGACTGCCTGACCCAATTGAATGCTCTTTGTCACAAGAACTAGAAAAGACCTCAGACCTGCTATGGAAAGCAAATTTTTAGCTTTTCAACGAACCAAAATTTTGAAACATGGCTCACATATTACGATTGTACGCAGATATACCTTTTTTGAATTCACGCCTCTAATAAAGGTCGTTCATTTCTTGCAGCAGCAGAAAAATGCAGCGTGTAATCAGCGATTCCTAAAATAGTAGCGGTAAACTGTGAGCCAAATTTGAAAAAGTACAACTAATTTCGGGGTTAAATAAAAGTGTGGCTTACCAAGGTTGCCCCCCCCCCCCAGTTTTGATATTGTCCGACAATAAAAAGTACACTGATAAAAAATCCACCCCCGTCTCGTGTTCAGCAACGTAGAAGTAAAAGCTTCTCATGTGCACTGAAATGAACTTGTGATTAGGAGCAACTATTCTTTGCTCATTTGCGAAACAACATAAGTGCTATCACTCTCCTGATGCAGATAGGTGCTTTTACGGATGACCATTGTGAAGGTCCTTTTTCCTAGTCTTGAGTCGGTTCTGGTCGTTCGGGGTGTTTCTGATTTAATTTGACGTATTTCTGTCAAACGGAACTATGTGCTTTATGACGTGAGCCCTGTTATGCATGTATTCTTATGGGTCTCAAGGCTTATGTCTTAATGCACATAGTTCCATTTGAGGGAGATACGTCCAATTGTTTGGAGGTGTTAACCATTTGGTTAGTACATTCAAAGCTTCGGAGGGAAAGTGGAGGTGGATATTCAATATCGAACAAACCGTTTAAGCGAGACTTAGCGGGTACCTCTCCTTCACAAAATCTAACACGTAGTTGACTTTTCAGAAAATTTACTCTTCTCAAAAAAAGTGGCTAGCTTCTCTGACTTCGTTAACTATTTTCATACATTGCCCACCAAAGAAACTATTCCAGGTGAGAGCCTAAACGGGTCCATCTTTTCCCCGACTATACAGGGTAAGTTTGATGGCCTTCCGAGCGAGGCTTCGAAATTATTTTAGGTTAAGTCGATGTTGCCATCTTGTTTTTTGCGCGTCGCCGCGAGAGATCGATCTCCCGATCTTCAACACCAAAACCTTACTAAAAACTTTCGATACGAGGCTAATTTTAGGTATAAGCTTATATTAGAGGAAAAAACAAGCGGCAAAAGATATGATCGTGGACCATTCAGGTGCATGGTAAGGAAAAATATGAGAGGACGAGAAACTAATATGCATTGCGCTTCAAGGCTCATTAAAACTTGAGTTCATCTGACAGAAATATTCCTCCTGACATGATCCGGTGGGTGCAAAATAATGCGTCGCAAATTGCACGGTTATTATGAGACTCAATTGCGCGGGTCTATTTCCACGGTTCTCGGCCTGGGAGGAGGGTTCTTTCATTTTCTTCGGACAAATTGATTCACTTCTCATATCATTTCAGCCAGATTCATAAAAATTACAGAGGCTCCTATAGGATGGGGCCTTAGAGGGTGCCTCCTAATGACGTTTGTCCAGATATAGCACATCGACGGTGAAACTACCAAATCACGTATCTCGGTTTGCGACGTCGCAGACTTCCTGTCATACATCATTTTTTAAATGAAAAACTACTTAACGTCCAGTCTTGAAAATTTCTGTGACTTTTCCTCTTCGTGCGGAGAAAATTCTGTGAAAATTTCAAGGAATGATAATGATGTGGTCTACTTCAAAAAAATAAAATGTGAGCGTAGATTTTTAAACACCGCAAACGAGATACGTGGTTTGGTAGTTTCACCGTCGACATATATAACGATCAAACAAATATCAAACAAATCAATCTGATCGAACCAAATTGAGGCATCTATGGTAAATATCAGATTCGGATTAGATTAGAAACCCACGACGATCCTCCTGATTCATGGGTGCCATATTCGCATGATTTTGACGGGTTTGTTTACAGCTTTTGCAACTGATAAGGGCGGGTTATCAAAGTGAAGTTGTGGCCTTTTGAGTTCATTACATAAAAGAATACATTAAAATGATAGTGCATGGAAAAAAACTGCCCGTATGAATACTTTAAAAAGAGAGAACTCCAAAAGAGAAGATTCTCAGACATTGGGCAAGGTACTTAGGGGTGCGCCTAAAGGTTACTGGTCGATGACATGAAAACAAATGCGCAAATGGCCTTGAAAGGGAGTGTAGTGGAAAATTCAAGTGGCTTTGTGCGAAAAACTGGCCTTCTACGTGCTATACAGAGGGAGGATTCAGTTTTGGGAGGAAGATTCACGAATATACTGGAGATTCGGGCGAGGAGATAAGGTGTGCGCCTGAAGTTTGTTGATCGATGACATGAAAACAAATGCGTAAATGGACTTAAATGGGAGTATTATGACAAATTAGAGTAACTGTATACGATAAGCTGCCTGAATATGTACTGTAGAGACAGAAAGTTCCAAGAAGGAAGAACCATACATATACTGGATATTAGGCGAGGAATTTAGGTGTGCAACTAACGATTTCTGGTGGAAGAGATGAAAACAAATGGGTAAATGGGCTTAAATGGGAGTATGGTGACAGATTAGGATGATTTTGCACGAAAAGTTGCCCTTATACGTAGTATAAAGTAAGGAAGCTCCATGAAGGAAGAACCATAGATATACTGAATATTAGGCGAGGAATTTAGGTGTGCACCTAACGATTCCTGGTCGAAGAGACGAAAACAAAGTGGTGAATGGGCTTGGATGGGAATTGAGTGAACACATAGAGGAGAGGTGTCGGGGCGAGGTGGGGCTGACGGTGATAAGGGCAGGGGCGGGAAGGACATGTGGGGCTTTGGGGGAGATAAGGGTTGGAATGTGGGTGCGTTGGGCCTCGGGGGGGTGGGCCTACCTTCGCAGATGTAGCCCTGTCCGATGATGCCCCAGAGGAGGTCGGTGCAGTGGTGGCAGTAGGTGGGCTTGTGGAAGGTCTTCTTGGCGAAGTGGTGCCCGTGGCCGGGGTCCGCGGGCGAAGCCGACGCCGCCGCCGCCGCCGCCGCCATGATTCCGGCCTCCAAGCCGTGGCCTCCGCGGCACTTCCTACGCCAGGATTTCACGGTGACTCTAGTCGGCCCGCGGCCGCACCATCCTACGCGACCGGGAAGAGGCGAGACGCCGAGCACCCTGAGATCGAAGCCCGAGCGAGACTCAATACTGCTCCTCCGCGGAGTGACGTCATGGCGCGCCCGAGACAGCCCAGTCCTCACGTACCTCCGCCGAATCACAGACTGGAGCTCCTCGCCGAGTGGCGCTCCCCGTCCGCGCACGTTCGCGTCCGTCGATATGTGGCGTCGCGCGCCGCTCCGCTCGAGCCGCTGCGCCGCGCAGCCGGAGCCCGGGTCACCCGCGCCCGCACCCCCCGCCCCAACCCGACCCGAGCAGAGTCGTCGCACGCCCGCCTGCCACACCGACACCCGGGGACAAACCCAACGCGGAAAATTCAGCGAGAGCCGTATCAGTGGCTAAAATGCCACACCACGTAATTCCATTGACATGCTTTCAATGTTTCCGCTCTTATTTTATTGTTTCCAGGACAGGATGTCTACTGTTTAGTTTTGGGTTTTCCTGGTAATTCCCTGATTTTTCGTGATCATTTGGACAAGATTTCCTGATTTCCCGCGCTTAGATTGGACCGCGTTCAGCAGAATGGAACCGAGCCACATCAGCTATTACCAAATTTAACTGGACAATGTAATTTTTTAACAAGAGAACATTTGTGTGGATTCTTATGAAAATTTTGAGTAACTTGCTTCGCTTGACTATGCAGAGAATTCACTGAAATTTGCACACAAATCCGCACAACTGTTCCCATGTAAAACACTGAATTGCCCAATTAAATTCGGCAACAGCTGATGTGGTTTGGTTCCATTTTGCTAAACGCGGTCCAATTGGCACTCGTTTAATTTTTTGAAAAAAAACCTAACATGTTTCATGAGTTGAATTAAATGTTCGAAAAATGCTTGAAGCATTCAGAATTTTCTATTCCAAGACCGATTTTCCTACCGTTTTTCAGATTTTTCCTGGTAACATTTAATTTCTGATATTTCCCGGTTTTTAATGACGGCAAACACCCTGCTGGAGAGAAAAGTCAACTCCATAGCTTGAAATTTATACAGGATATTCTGCTAAAAGGGGTGAAAAATCAAGGAAGTTTTCGAGAAATTACGTTGACTCGTTTCCCAAAGAAAAAATAAAGTATGACAAGAAGTCTGCACCGTGGCAAACGGAGATACGATGTTTCATATTTTAACCTCTGATATACAATAATTAAGTAATACTGTCAAAAATGGTGGGGAAAAAAACTTCATTTATACTAGAAACGATTTTTCCACTCAATGCGATTTGCTTTGAAGAGAAAAACATTTTTACCAGGTTTCTTAGCGCTGATGTTTACGGAAAAAAATAATCAAAAAATGAGTAAATTTTAATACATCTCAATGACTCTGTGGCTGAGGTATTGATAAAGCGCTCCTCCTGGTGTTAATAATTAAAGAAGATGGTACGCGGCCCAACCTCTGGAGGGTGCTTCGCGCCCTCTAAAGACAGCTTCGCGGGCCTCCGTGAGCTACTCCAAAAAAAAAAAAGACAGGCATCGAGAGACTATTTTCTATAATCCTATAGACAGCCGCAAAAACCATGAAAATTGGACCGATAGATCTTTAGAGCGAACTGTGACAAAAAATGAACATTATTTACATAGGAGAATAGAAGATGATGTACGTATATAAAAGGGGGTGAAATTAAGTTATCTTACCTAGAAGGTTTTACTGTGAATCAGGTAGGTGAACTGAAATTACAGCGACATCAGAATGATCTTGTCAAAAAAAAGTGACTGTAACAGAAATAACATTTTCACATCAACAATGGGCCAAAAAACACTAGCATGCAAAATAAAACATAGGTCTTTCCTTTGAAAATAAAACTGAAAAATTACAGAGCTATAGATCAAATGAATGCGGTCTGTAGCTTTTCTTAGACATTTTATGTAAGTCCTCATTGGATTGGACATTTTTTTGGAATGGCGCGATTTCAAAAGGTTAAAAGTAAATATACGGATTAATAAAAAACCCAATTTGAAGGGTCAGTCATTTATGAAGAAAGAGAACTAAAAAAAAAAAAGAAAGAAAAAAAAGAGAGAAAAAACAAGCACCGTTTTTAGTTTGGAAGTAAACAAGTCATAACTTGAATAATGGTCTGATTTTTAAAGGCATAGGAAAAGAATCTTAAAAAGAGGGTTGAATTAGATTTCCATTCCTTGAATTATATTGGGTAAGTTAGGCGCGCCACGAAAAATGTCCTCTCCTTGCCACTCATGTTAGGTTCCTATCTGTTGATTGCCTTGTCTTGATTGCATTTTGCCCCCGTGTGCGCCTTGCCGCACTGAACTTCCCTCTCTGTGCAGTACCACCCTTCCAAACTAAAAATACCGTAGCTCTTCACAGCAAAATTACCGTGCGCTGAAACTTGAACTGAAAGGTGCCGACCCGTGAGCAGGACTTCGCCTACTTCGTGTGCCACTGCACGTTAGTTTGTTGCCTCGCTGCGGCGAAAAAAATACCGTGTATAATCAAAAATTACCGTGCAATTCATATAAACTTTGATATTGATGTTTTCATGGGTATGTGCACTAAATTAATCAATTTAATAAAATAATTATGAGTAGAATCTAAAATATATCGATGCTTGAATAACGAAAAAAACAATACCGCGCTGAGCGAAGCTCTGGCAGTATATTATTATTTGAATTCTTACATCTGCACGCATGCGTGAAAGGAATAACTCCTTGCGACACTTCTAATGCGCAACCCTTTCATTTTAAAAATAAAAGAAAACAAATTCTGAACTTTTCTTAAGAAACCCAACGAAACTTTCTCTTTGAAGTTATCCGTTTTTTCTTCACCATTAAAAAAGCAGCCGACTCAAGCGGCAAAACGTGTTCACTTTCCTTGGGAGGAGGGAATAAAACATGTAAGCGTGGAAATTGCGAACGTTCCAATTTAGATGATTTTTTTACGAAAGAGGTCGACGTTTGTAAATATCAAAACACAATTTACAAAAATTTTTATTCCTCTGGTTACGTTCGCAGAAGAACTCCGGATAAAATCCTTCAGTTCTTAGAGTATGCAATAAGCATTGTCACTGAGCTGGTATAGTTGCTGGCGCAGGCGTTGGCAACCAACGTATGATGATTGGACACTGTGAGATTAAACCTCGACAAAGGTGTGTAATGAGCGACAGGAATTTCAGTCTCAATACCTTGAACGGACTATTTAAGGATTGAATGAGTAATTTATTAATATCCAGCTAGAAATGTTGCTCGTTTTTTAAGGGTGCGCCTGCAATTTTGTCAATCGATGGGGCAAAACGATAGAAACGGGAAAAGAATTCTGTGCTGCCGTGCTAAGGAAGAACGCCGTATGAGCCTATTATGTTGCCAAATCTCCTTATATAAAATATGGATTTTCAGGGAAATCTGAGAGTATTTTTCTTCGATTTTTTCAGAGAATTTTATCCACGATCGGATCTAAATTTTCTGAAAATTTCAAGAGAAAATATTTATAACCCTCTTTAAAAAAAGACATTATTTTAGAGGAAATTCGACAACTCTCGGATGTTTATACGGCGTTTTTATCACTGAGGGAGATTCCTTAATTTGTCGATCATCCGACCTGATTAGAATTACAACAAAGAAAACGAGTGGTACCCCCAGTCAGTCAATCATGCGAATTGAAGTTTACGACAGGTTTTCAGAATCACAGAATTTTTTTGAATCCAAATCCTTTCGAGGAATTTTAAAAATAAAATTAAGGACTTTTCAAAGGCATCCGATGAGTTTTCTGAAGACTTATAAAAAAATTAAAGGCCTTGGGTGGATCAACGCACCTGCATTTCACGTTGCCTAATTTCCTTTAGGTTTCATTTTAATTTATTTATTTTTACAAGAGAACTGAGCGACACAGAGCCTTGAAAATTTCTATGAATTTCATCTAGACCAGAAGAATTATCCCCGCAAAACTTCAAGGCAAAATTCTGCTTATTTTCCTTGGGAAAAAAGAGGAGACAGTAAACGGCGTGAGATAAAGTTCGGCTGATTTTGAGGTAAACGTCGTCCAAATAATGTCATGAAAAGGTAGTTTTCTTTCCCTCTTCCATTACCTGATTTTCTGATACCTACATTAAAAGGCACACAGACGGAGCAATTTTTTACTGCGAAATTTCCAGTATAAGAAGAGAGAGAGACCAAATTTTCGAACCTTTGTCAACGGATTCACTGTGATGTTGTTGAAGTCGATGAAACATCCCGAAGCTTCCGGGACGATAGAAATGTGTGTCCATCGATTAACTGAGCTGCATTTCGCAATTAGGAGCGACAATTTCTGACTTATCCGTAAAGCACGTACGCACATAGGTAAACTAATGGTGTATACGTTGTTTCTGAACTGCAGTCCAACTAACTATCCGCGACCTCCGGTATGTTCATTGCCTACGCGGAAAAATTGAAGGAGAACTTGAAGTGGACGATAGATGCACGCATTGATGCATTGACACATGTGGTTTGCTGCTTGAACGAAGTTTACAGAGCGACAGTAATAGGTGTTTTCCGAATAGATGACTATTCAAGTCCCCCAAATGTTTGTCGTCTATTTGACGAAAATGAAGGCGAGATTTCAGTGAACGATATCCAAGCAGAATCACACATCGTTTAGTGGTTCAGTAAAAGCATGCACTGGGATGACTGTTTTCGAGTAGCTTACTATTCATACTATCCGCTAAATTCGATACTTACTACCCTTCATTTTTGTAATATTACCCTATTGATCGTTGGTGTTTTAGCTATAAAAATCCCTATTTTTGTGGTTTCTTCGATAGATTTCGTTGAAACCCCAAACACGATTTAAAACTTTTGAAACTTTGACACAGTGCAGTCCGTTGATGGTGGTCCAGTATTATGGTGCGAGAGTAAGACCTACCAAGTACGAGAACGGCAACGAAGCCAAGATACCGGTATTTTGCGGTTCTGCGTTTCTGTTTTCGGTTGACCCTATGTTCCGTACGTCTGCACTTAAGAGACTTGTTGGAGCCTGTAAAGTACAGTACCTTTAAGATTGAAGATTCTCCGGATGAGTGTTCTTATGGAGATCCTAAGAAATAGCGTAGGGCCGCACTCGAACCGGCAGTTTTGCGTCAAGGAACGCAGTACCACTATGGTGCAGTCCTACGTTACCTCCTAAGATTTTCATGTGGACACCCATCCAGGAGTACCTGGTAGCCGGAGGATCTT